AAAGTAAATTTGGGGCCTGCACTTCATTTCTGAGAGTCAAATAGAACCGTCAAATACTGCTGTGACATAGCAGTTTTAAAAATTCACATTTCTTTAGGTGCTAAAAAGTAAATTTGGGGCCAGCACTTCATATCTGACAGTTAAATAGAACCGTCAAATACTGTGCTTACATTGCAGTTTTAAACATTCAATTTTTTTAGGTGATAAAAAGTAAATTTGGGGCCTGCACTTCATATCTGAGAGTCAAATAGAACCGTCAAATACTGTGCTTACATTGCACTTTTAAAAATTCTAATTCTTTAGGTGCTAAAAAGTTAATTTGGGGCCTACACTTCATATCTGAGAGTCAAATACACCGTCAAATACTGTGGTTACAGCGCATTTTTAAACATTCAAATATTTTAGGTGATAAAAAGTAAATTTGGGGTCTGCACTTCATATCTGAGAGTCAAATAGAACCGTCAAATACTGTGCTTACATTGCACTTTTAAAAATTCAAATTCTTTAGGTGCTAAAAAGTTAATTTGGGGCCTACACTTCATATCTGAGAGTCAAATAGAGCCATCAAATACTGTGGTTACAGCGCATTTTTAAACAATCAAATTTTTTAGGTGCTAAATTGTACATTTGAGGCCTGAACTTCATATATGATAGTCAAATAGAACCGTCAAATACTGCTGTGACATAGCAGTTTTAAAATTTTAAATTCTTAGGTGCTAAAAAGTAAATTTGGGGCCTGCACTTCATTTCTGAGAGTCAAATAGAACCGTCAAATACTGCTGTGACATAGCAGTTTTATTAATTCAAATTCTTTAGGTGGCAAAAAGTAAATTTGGGGCCAGCACTTCATATCTGAGAGTCAAATAGAACCATCAAATACTGTGCTTACATTGCAGTTTTAAACATTCACATTTTTTAGGTGCTAAAAAGTAAATTTCAGGCCTGCACTTCATATCTGAGAGTCAAATAGAACTGTCAAATACTGTACTAACACAAATTGTAAATAACAAAAAGTATAGAACAAAGAAAAGAAAAAGTTTGGTCACACACGCTGTTGTAGCCACAATAGGAGGCCTAATAGACATAGTTGTAGAATTACGGCAGCATAATTTGGAAACAACAAATAAAATGGAGGAAGCAATGGACAAAAGGGATTGTTTAAAAATTGCAGCTTTGAGAACAACTACAATTGTTGTGGAACTAGAAAAGGAGTTAAGAGAAATAGAACAACAGAGAGATGCAAAGATCACTGAACTCCAAGACCTTGTCATGGAATATAAAATGAAAATTAAAGAAAACACAAATAAATGGGATAAGGAGATTCCTAGAGTATGCCCAGACCAGTCTTATTTTATATCTGAAAGTAAAGAACCAGTGCTGGGAACAAAACACAAGGGAAATGTGCCAATTGTAAATTGTGTCCCACAAGCCCCTATAATAATAACTGAACATTTTAATGTAAGAGAAATGATTACTAGCTTCTCTAGACAGACAAGGACTATGTCAATCACAGACAAAGATAATTTCCAGAAATGGTGGGGACTGACGACTTTAACACCTTTACACATTGGTTTATGAGGGGAGCAAATAGAGCAAAAAAAGAAGGTCTTAACTTAGAAGAATGGACAGAACTGTTAGAATATGCTATGGGTCCTTTGGCTAGCAGACTATTTGGATTTAATAACAGGATCAGGCAGGAAGAATTGCTGCAACAAATTTCTATCTACTCAGCATAGAGAAAGAAATAGCTAATATTATGATGAGGCCAGCAGATGGTCCTAGAGAGGTAGCTCAAAGGATATTGTTCTGGTATACGCTGCGCCAACCTCAACAACCTCTGGTCTTGGGCTCACCAGAACACATTGCTAAAGTAATGGAAGCCCTTCCCTGGGAGTGTCAAGAATTTGTGAGGCTTTTTGATCCAACACCAGCAGACTTAGAAATGGTACTAACTAGAGCTGACAATTGGTGGATCAAGCATCCTTCCTCAGAACAGGCCTTCTCTGTTTCAGCCATAAGAAAGGTTGACTCTGGTAGAGATATAGATGGTAAATGGAGAAGCCAGAGGTGGGATGTACCCCAGAACAAGAGGGATAATGAGAACTGGAGACCAAAACAGGACTTTGACAAAAGATGGAGAGATCCACAGAGGGACCATAGGAATAGGGACAGTGCTAAATGAAGTAATGTAATGGGAGATAATTGGAGAAATAGATGGGAGGGGCCTAAGGTAATCAATAATAATTTGAATAATAAAAATACCTGGGAGAGGCTAAAAAGGACAGATATTAACTGGGAAAATCATAATTGGGGAGAAAAACTGAGAAACAACAGGAATAGTTATTGGGAGAATAATTGGAGAAGGAACCATAGATGGGATGAGCATCAGACCAATAGACGGAATTGGGATAATTGGAGGAATAAAGAAGGGAATAGAGACTACTGGGACCTAAAGAGACAGACTGAAAGATTGGAGGCAGACGTGAAAGTGCTGAGGGAACAGTTGAGAGAGGAGGAAAAGATTGATCAATTGGGGGGTCTCAGCAATCAATAACACTCATAATTTTGTTTTGCTCTCTACATCTGTATGTATGTTTGTTTTTCTTTTGTTTTGTTCTTTCTCTCAGTCTTCCAGTCTCCCATTTAGCTATACCTTTCTAATGATGAGATCTAGTGTTCCCACAGAGCAAGGCAAAGCTGTATTAGGATGATGATGTGTGTCAACAGAAGATCATAGTGGATCCTTGTTACAGGATGGATAAGTATAAGCTGTATCACAGTAGGGATGGGAGACAGGCAATACGGCCAGAAGATACTCCAAATAAGGGAGAAGATTAGAGTCTATATTTTAATAATCCTTCTATTCCTCCAAAGTGTCCGGAACAACGGCGACAGTGTTTTAGGCAAAGCAGGGTGTCAGGAAAAACGGGACAATTTGCAGCTCTACTGGGAGGAGTCGGAGCTGGATTGAGAGTATGGAATTCTGCAAATATCACATCCAGTCCTACAAACTTTGCCGCTAGTACTCATGCTCATAATTACACTATACTTTTGTGTGGCAATGAAATAGATAAGGAAGAAACTTGAAAAGGGGGATTTTTTTTGTTTGTTTCTCTCTCTCTCTCTCTCATACATTCTTCAATAAAGTTTTACATTGCACACACACACTCACCTAAATTCTATAAGTTCTGTTTTTTTGTGACACTTTGTATAATATGTGAATTGACAGCCATAGGAAAGTACAGGAGAACTTATGTCGCTGAGGGAACTATTCCGGAGGGACGGTGGGTTGAATTTCTCCTGTATATCAGGTTTTTGGTCCCACTAGGTTCTCTTGTACTAGAGGGATAACTAGATAATGGAGCAACATAGAAGAAGAAAAAGTGGGGGAATGTGGGGTGATGCAACCCCTATTTGACTTTTCTTTCACCTTGCTTATATCACTCACTATAATTCCTGTGCTTCCCTTTCCTACTTCAGATCTCATAGTTTAAATAGATAAGAGGGATATATTATTATTTTTAAATGTGCTCAACATAAGAGAAGAAAAAGTGAGGGAATGTGGTGACATTCTGTCATCAAACTAATATGGTGACCAGGGGTCATGTGACCAAGCTCATGTATGCCTTTCTTACGGGGGGGGGGGTAAGCTTTACCCTTTGATATGGTAATTGGGTAATTCAATACCTTTACAAGTCAGGAGAGAGATAACCACTTCCCCCTATCTCCATTCCTCTCTGTTCCTTCTTGGCTGTGCTACAGAGCAGACACCATGTGCTATCTTGGTGAACTATGTTACTGTCTGTTGCTTCCTTTTCTTCCTTGGTGGATGTGATGTTGAACTTGCAGCAGTGAGCCATTACTAGATGTGAAGGCCTAACCGTGGGTGAGATCAAACGTCTGGGGAAGGGGATTACTATATAGATAGATAGATTTTAAAAGGGTTGTTGCTCCGTGGATCTGGGCTGTGTGCTTGTGGTACATTTATAGTATTGTGTTGTTGCCTTTTAATAAATACCTTTTAATGTAGACGAACCTTGTGCAATATATATATATTAATTTGGTGATACACCACATGCAACACTGCCTAGTTACCGCTTCTCAAGAAAGTCTAAAGACTTTTTTAAAAAAGTGAAAAATAAGTGTTATTGTGATCGCTTTATATACAGAAGCATTAATATACATTTCTATATTGTGTAAAGACACAACTACAAAGTTAAAAACCAAACACCAAAACAACGTGCCAGACAATCTACCTGTGCATGGCTAGTGTGATACAATAAGTCTTCATCTTAAAAATGCAATAACCCACAAAAGATGGGCGAGAATTTTCTTTTGCAAATGGAACTTTGATTTGGATTTACTACATCACTCACTTGTAATATTGTTTCACACCTACAACACTTGTTAAACAGATATAAGTGATAGAAAACAGATTGATATTTTCTACACTAGAAACTACCAGATAACAAGCTGCTATATTTAAACCAGTTATCAATAGCTAAGAGGTACTTCAACAATATTGTAGTTCTGGGGCAATACCCTCACAAGTCAAACTGAGAGGTCAGTTTATAGGGAAAACTGTTGCCTGGATACAATTCTAAAACAATTTCCATATGTCCTTTGCAGACTTTACATGCTGGAAAAACACAGGTGCTAACTGCTGTGGCTTTCTCAAGTGGGCAGACTGGCAAGGAAGGCAGGGTTGAGGAGTGGGTGGAAGATGATGTGGAGGATGATGAGGTCCTAGACCCCACATGAAATGAAGGTCATGCGAGTGATGTGTGCAGTTTGGAGGAAGAGGCGGTGGTCTCACAGAGGCACCAGCACAGCATAAGAGGGAGCAGGGTGCAAAAGCGGAGTGGCCGTCCCCTAGCTCTCGTTGGCATGTATTAGCTGTAGAATTACCACAGTTATCCAAGTAACAGATGGAGCGATCAAAGGAATCATAACTGATTTAATGAGCCATTCGCAGTTTCACTGTAGCAGCTGTGCGCGCTTGCTGCCTTCCTTGGATGTAATAGCCGTTTCTCAGACTCCCTCTCCAGAATCGAACCCTGATTCCCCGTTACCCATGGTCACCATGGTAGGCGCAGAAAGTAACATCGAAAGTTGATAGGGCAGACAACCGAATGCGTCGTTGCCACCACAATCACCGCCTCCTCAACCTCCTACTCCACATCCACCTTCTCCTCCTAGAGCAGGGTGCAAAAGTGGAGCAGCCATCCTGTAGACACTGCCCACCGCACCCAGGGACCAATCACACCAAAGCCAGCTCCAAGGAGTTCACTGACAGTTCGAATGAGGAGAACCCAGTCGATTACTGTGTCACCTCCCGATAGACAAACAGGAGATGGGGCAGGAATCTCTCTCAATCCTTGTGAGTCATCGCAAAGGTATGGAGCACTTTCTTCAACGTACCGTTTAGGTGCTCACACAGCCCATTAGTCTGGGGGTGGTAAGGGGAGCTCAGTATTGCTTTAATGTGCAAAATCTCCACAGTTGGTGGGTCATTTCAGCAGTAAACTGGGTGCCCTGGTCTGAGAAAATATCCCAGGGAAAACCCATTCAGGATAACACGCGCATCAAGGCTTCAGCCACAGTCTATGCCCGAATACTGCTCAGGGTACCGAGTCGCGTAGTCCACGATGGTCAAAATGTACTTCTTCCCTGAGGGACTAAGCTTGGCTAGGGGACCTATCATTTTAGACAGCTACTCTGCCGAATGGATCTTCACTAATAGGTAGGGGATGGAGGGGGGCCCTGTGCCGGTCCCTTCTCTTCCCCACTCTCTGGCAGACACCTGGCTCTATTGCCTCAGATCCTGAGAGATGCCTGGCCAGAAGAAGCTTTGGGTGAGCTGAGATGCTGCCCGGCTCCTGCCCAAATGCCCTGTTATTGTGAGCTAGCTTCAGCAACTTATACCAATACTTCTTGGGTCTGGGGCTGGCGGTCTCTCACCAGACGTGTCGTTGGGAAGCCCATTGAAAAAGTGCTCTAGCTGGGTGATCTCCTCCGGGAACTTGACTTGATGGCAGTTGAGCCAGTTCTGGGTGGCCCTTGTGATGCGGCATGCCCACTCCACATGGGAGTCCTTCTTCCCTTTCCGGGTTTCCCTAAACTTTTGGTGGTATTGCTCAGGGCTGACCGCATACGGGACCAGGAGGATTTGTGTAATAAAGGGATAGTCTCTGATCTGCTCTTCTGGTACAGGCGGAAAATATCAGCTACCTTCCCCACTAGTTTGCTGGCAAGGATGGTGACACAGTCGCTGGCGTCCACGTATTTTAGTAGACACTGGCGCTCAAAGTCTTGTTAAAACTCATCGATGCCTTCTTCTGCTTCCTTGAAGTCTTTGAAGACATTGTATGGTAGCTTGTGGGCCAGGGTGTTTGTGCTTCCTGGCGCCCTCTGCTCCCTTCTTCCTTCATCTGGGTTCATGGATGTCACCCTCTGTCCATTGGCAATGACATTGCACCTCCATTGCTTGCACCTCCAAAAAGGTCCTGCTGACGATCTCCTCTGAGGGTGGCTCTTGGTAATATGCCAGGCAATTTGACGCACATCCCTTGCCTGGTGCATGTGCTGAATTTTGTGGTGCAGAAATTCCTGAAAAACTATCCAGATATATCAGAGCTGCTGCAGAAAGTGCGGGCTGTCTGTGCACGCTTTTAGTTTTCTCACCCTGCTGCTGCTCGCCTGTCTGCGCTTCAGCGTAACTTCAGTCTTCCTGCTCACCGCCTCATGAGACTGTGCGTGCAGCAGCCGGCGATAGTGGAGTTTCAGCTGCAGCACGCACGGGTCAGTTGCTCTGCGGAACAGAGTTTTCTTTTTTTATATGTCCCAATATATTGGGGGCTATCCCAATTAAAAAAACAAAACAAACAACTAAAAAACAGTGTTGGCTACCTCCTCCTCCTCCACCACCGCTGCTTCCACCTATACCACCACGGTCACCGCCTCCTCAACCTATGGGTCACTTACAGGGCCGCCATCAGGGCATGACAACCGTAACGGTTGTCATGGGCCCGGCGGTCCTGGGGGGCCTGGACTGCTCAGGTCGTCCGGGCCCCACATTCAGTGGGTACATACTGGGGTCGCAGGGGGTCCTCTGACCCCGGTATGTACCCACTGGGCTAGCCTCTTCTCCTGGGGGGCCCAGCAGCCGGTCACCTCAGGGCCCCCCAGAGGCTGGCCCTGCTGACAACCGGTGGGCGGGCGCGCAAGGGAGCACTCTCTGTGTGATTCCTCTTCAGCTCCCTTGCGCACCGTACTGATGCCAGAGCCGGAAGAAGACATTAGGAAGGGGGGGAGAGGAAGGGAGGAAATTTGAGGGAGAAAGGGGGGAGAGGAAGGGAGGAAATTTGAGGGGAAGGGAAGGGGAGGAATTTGAGGGGAGGGAGGGGGAGGAGGAAGGGAGAGGGTGAGGAGGGAGGGGAAGGAAGGGAGAAATTTGAGGGAGGGAGGAGAGGAGAAATTTGGGGGGGTGAGGAAGGGAGAAAATTTGAAGGACACACACATGCCATTCCACACACACACACATTCCACGCCGGGAGACAAAAGGAAATTTGAGGGAGAGGAAGGAAATTTGAGGGGAAGGAGGAAAGAGGGAAATTTGAGGGGGAGAGGAAGAGAGAATTTGAGGAGGGAGAGGAAGGTGGAGGAGAGGAAGGAAATTTGGGGAGTAGGGAGGAAGGAAATTTGAGGGAGGGGGAGAATTGGAGGGGGGAGAAGGCAATGAGAGGGAGGGGGAGAAGAAGGAAATTGGAGAGGGGGGGAGAAGAAAGAAATTGGAGCGGGGGGGAGAAGGAAATTGACGGGGGTAGAGGGAGAGATTGACATCCATCACACACAAACACACACACAATGCACCCCTTGCACACAGAAAAACACACAATGCATTACACGCAGACACACATACACAAGCAATGCATCCCTTACACACAGCAACACACTCAGTGCATCCCTTACAGACATATACACTGCATCCCATACATACACAAACTCACCTTGCAGCCCTTACACATACAAACACAGATTCACACAATGCATTCCTTACACACATCAGGACATCCCCCACACACACACACACCGCTGTGAACAAACTCACTGGTGGAACATGAACGTGGACCCTGGGACCTAGACCTTGAGCTGTGTAAAGGGCCCTCAAAAAAATGGAGCTGCTTCCCGTTCTCCCAGAACATTGATTTTTGTGACCACAGTTACAAACCGCCTCCAGAGAGCCTGTTCTACACCAGACCAGTGGAGCCAGATGGCAGCTAGAGCCTATCATCATCCTCATCTGGTTGTAAGTAGGCAATCTAGTATATTATTCGTGGCACTAATCTCTAATTTACCTCACATTAAAGGGACACTATAGTCCCCAGAACCACTGCAGCTAAATGTAGTGGTTCTGGTGTCTATAGCCTGTCCCTGCAGGCCTTTTATTGTAAACATGGCGGCACTGCAGCACTGTGTTAGTTAACATGGCAGATCATATGGGTGGGGCATTGTGATGTCACATGGGGGGCGGCAAGCTTTACTTTTGCCTAGGGCGGCAAAAATCCTTGCACCGGCACTGCAGACACTGCATCCCTGTGGGCGGACTCGGGGGGGGGCGGACTCAGGTGCAGGCACCGGGGGGCCCAGACCTTGAGCTGTGTCAGGGGCCCCAAAATTTCTGATAGCAGCCCTGGTCACTTAGTATAAACTATGTACACATTAGCAGAGGCTTGTGAAGGCCTTTTCTCGCTGCATCAGGACTTGAGCATTTCTCCATGCATCAGTCCTGCAAGAAATGCACCACAGGCCGCAAATGTTTCTTTTTTTTTATCTGTCCCAATATTTTGGGGGCTACCCAAATTGAAAAAAAAATTATAAATATATATATATATATATATATATATATATATTAAAAAAACAGTGTTGGCTACCTCCTCCACTGCCACTTCCACCTACACCGCCACGGTCACCGCCTCCTCAACCTATGGGTCACTTAGTATAAACTAGGTACACAATAGCAGAGGCTTGTGAAGGCCTTTTCTCCATGCATCAGAAGTTGAGCTCAGTTTGAACAATGAAAGAGAATACCCTGCACTCCAACCCTATCTCAAATGGATAATTCTGGTGATCCTCCTGACAGCCATTCTTTAGATTTTGATTCATGTTCTTCCAAAGCTAAAATCAAAGATTACATCTAGTGCTATTTTATGGCTGTATTTTTAATTTTTTTGTATCTTATGTTATTTTAAGTGATTTCCCTATGCACATTTGTTAGCAGGGCACTTGTCCTACTCATACCCCCATTTTACTTCCTTTTGCAGCCCTCTAGCCCTTTCCAGGACTTTTTTAGAGGCATTTTGTGCCCAAAAGTTCGGGTCCCCATTGACTTCAATGAGGTTCGGGTCCGGGGTCAAGTTCGGGTCAAGTTCGAGCCCGAACTCGAACTTTTTGGGATTGGAAAGGTTATGGACCAGCCGATTGTTCTTGGGTTCCGGCATCTGATATACATGCTGGCTGCAAGATTCGCTATTTTAATGCCAAATTTCCTCTCAAGCCTGGTCCTGCCCGCCCGGTGAAGTGACCCGAGAAAACCTGGAATCATTTATGGAGGAGACCTCATACTCTTCCTGTCCAGAAACAACTAAAGGAGGAGGAGGGACACTTGAAAGGTATTAGGAATTTTCAAGGAGGCCAGAAGGGCCAGAGAGTACGCAACAGGACTGATCCTACAAAGGACACGAAAAGGTCCAAGGAACCTAGGAGCAAATTTCATGCTAGGGACTTTGAGCCTGATGTTACGAGAAGATAACCAAACCCTCTCACCCACTTGGTAAACAGGGTTGGCACCTCGACGTGTATCAGCATAATACTTGAAACGGTCAGCAGCAGTACCCAGAGCAGTTTGAACTTTAACCCAGGTATCACAGATGAAAGCCAGAAGGTTATCCAAAGCAGGAATAGCCGTATCAGAAAATACAGCCGGTAGGTCAGTATATATATAACCGTTAGAACTAGGAAGTTCAACAATGAAGTCCATGGACAAGTGGGACCATGGGACCTCAGGAATAGGAAGAGGTTGTAACAAGCCACAAGGGAGTTTATGAGGCACTTTGGAAACCGTACAGAACTGCCCCTACCCCTGTCTCTGAAGCATCAGCCTCCAGTATGAAAGGCTTACTGGTGTCAGGATGTATCATTATGTCGGCAG